GAACATCATCGCTCAACATGAGACGGAAAAGCGCGCGCACACACAAAAACACACTTTTAATTGCGTTACTTCCATAAAACGCAAATAAAGTTCGTCATCTCCCACTGTTTCGCATTAAACAAATAAGCATTTGATAAATTTACTGTTTCTATTTTTTTTTCAACTTAAATTCATGTTGCAACTTGAAATAAAACAGAGCAAAAAATAAACTTTTAAGTAAATGTTGTCGTGTTGCAGAGAGTTTCGATTGTTGTGAGTTGTGTTTGTTTGAGAGCAACGGTGATGTCAATTTAATAACTTTGCAAAAACGTGAAAACTGGTATGTTGATGCATGAATGTTGATTTATACAGGGTGAGATGAAAAGACTGATGTCGTTTCTAATTCACTCCTCCGACAGCTGTTAAAATTATTCCAGTGACAGCTCATTATATTGTTTACAAGCGTAAAAAAGCATTTTGGTGAGAATTTTCCAGAAAAAAAGTTATTCGTGATGGAATTCAAGCGTGATAGTGTGATTTCTTTATATTTGGTTAGAGCACTGCAGCACTTAATTGTGAATAAATGTTTTGTGTCTCGTACCATCGCTCGTAACCGTGATACTGGTAACGTAGCCCGGCGTCAAGGAAGTGGACGAAAGAAAGCAGCAACATCAGCAGAAATGGTTCGAAAAGTAAAGTAGCAACTTGATCGAAACCAGCCTCGCAGTGGCCGTAAAATGGCTATGTCTCGTGAGCTGAACATATCGCAATATTCCATTCGGCAAATAGTGAAAAATGAGCTCGGGGCAAAGCCATTGAAATTCCAAAAAGTGCAAGAACTTACACCGCAACTGAAAATAGACTGAAAAGAGCTAAGAGTTGCTTCGCTTGGCCGAAAGTGGTGAACTGTCGAATTTGGTTTCCTCCGATGAGAAAACATTTGTTGTCCAGCAGTATGTAAACAAACAAAATGATCGTTTTTACTTGCCAAAGAGGTCAGCTGAAAATGTGCACCTTCGGTTGGCCACCAGAACTCAAGCGCTGGCCATAGTGATGTTGTGGACCGCCATAACAGCCGATGGTCGCTCTCCGCTCGTATTAATCGACCGTGGGATTAAATAAATGCCGAATATTATTGCAAAAATTTTCTGGAGGGTGTATTAAACGCAAACATTATGGTAGCAGAACTTGGACATTCCATCAGGGCTCAGCACGCGCCTCCAAGAATAATTACAAAGTGAGGTTCCTCGCTTCATTTCCAGCGCACAATGGCCACCAAAATCTCCGGATACCAATCCCTTGGACTATTGTGTCTGGAGTATTTTGGAAAGCAAGGTTGGCACTAAAAATACCAAAGAGTGGCTAGAGAGGGTATGTATCATTCGATACGGCCAAAACGTGCCTCATCGTAATATTATTGTCAAACTTAGATCGAGTTCGCAGATAAGCAATATCGGTCCACTTCTTCTGGTACCTCCCACACAAAATGTCGCAATTTTCAAAGAAAATAATTTACTGCACAGAAAGAGAAAGGATAATCTGATTTTGCTCCAACTTTGCGAATCCTAATATTTGCATCAGCCCCAGGTCAGGTGCGAAAATGGACAATATCGGTTCACTTCATCAAGTACCTCCCCACAGAGGGTCAAAATTTTGAATAACTATAACTTTTATAAAATGTGATCTAAGAGTCCGATTGTCTTCAAAAAAAATACATCATCATCACAATATTTTTATTAACCCAAGGTGAAGATGGCATATAACGGTCCGCTCTTCTGGTACCTCTCCCTCAAAGGGTCAAAATTTTGAATATCCATTAAGCTAATAAAACGCGAAATTAATATCCGATTCCATTCGGACTTGGTACATCTCATTATTGCCATCAACACAAGATCTGTTATAAAGATGGTAGAGATCGGACAATTTCCTCTAGTACCTCCCCCACAAAGGGTCAACGTTTTGAATAAACAAAACGATCATAAAATCCGAAATAAGAATTTGGTTATCTGCAAATTTCAAACATCACATTCTTTCTACGAACACAAGATCTTTTGTGAAGATGTTATATGTCTGCGAACCCCTTCTGGTACCTCACTCACAAAGGGTTACAATTTGCAATACCTATATCTGTCATAACTTTTTTTTTTTTCCCATACCAATATTTGTATCTGTATTAGATGAAGCATGCCGATGGAATAATTCGGTCGACTACATCTGGTAACTAACGCACTTTTTTAACATTTTCGAACGTCATCGCAATGTTTATATCACATATATTTAGGTCCGACACGAAATGGGCAATATTGGCCCATTCCTTCGGTACCCACTCCATAGAGGGTCAAGAATTTCAGTAATCATAACAGACGTCAATATATATTAAAATAATCGAACATTGACTGAGGCTAAACATCTGTTGGCAAAACCCTAAAATCTTTAGAAAAACACTTCCAACAAAAACAGCCCAAGCTATAAAGTGGCAATATCGTAAGCATATACGTGGTACTAGTTTTTTAGTTGCTGTTTATTGTCTTTTACGTTAATTTAATGTAAAATTCATGCTACATTGTACTAAACTCAAGATTTATGTAAGCGCACCTTAAACAATAATAACAAATCCCCTGATGAAGTCATCAAACAGTGATGAAACGTTGAGAAAATGCAATAAAAACATATCTTTTGTTTGCAAAGAAATGAGCTAAAAACATAAAATAAAAAATCGCTACAATAGGCAACACTGTTGCTACTAGACAATAACCCAACAAACTCCAAGCGAACTGATAAAATGTTTTTTTTTATGTCATGCTGCTGGGAAGAAGAGTTTTAAATGTGAAAGAGACAACTAGCAACAACAATAAAAGCAAGAATAACAACAACAACAACACCGTTAGTGATGATAAAGCCAAAAACTCCCAACAACATTGCCACCAAACTTTATTCATACCACCAGCAACATCAGTTGATAGTTGGCTGCTTACTTGGCTGGTTGCCTCTATTGTTGTTTGTTTTTTTAGTAGTTGTAGTGGTGGTGGCGGTGGTAACAACAACAATAAAACGCGTTTTAATCAACAACAAACAAAGTTAATTTTTAGACTTTTCATTCAAGCGACAGTTGAAGTTTACTATTCAGCCATGAATGACGTTCGCAACTCTCAACGTCGGGAGAATTAAATGAGAAAAAGACAAGAAATTATAATTTCGTGTTGCAGTGAAAAGTCAGAGCGAAGTAAACTAAACGAGAATAAGGAAAATAACGTTTGTGGAAAGTCTGTGTTTGGTGTTAATTAAGGAGACACAATTTGTGAAAATATATGTCACAGAGATTTGTTGATGAAAATTTGCAATGGAAAAATTAACTTCAGTGGATATTTGAAATGTGAATTAAAAAAAAATAAATAAATAAAAAATATTTTGTTAAAGAATGATTTAAACAAAACGTGAAAACTGTTGTCAAATTTAATCTCCCTCAGAGTACAACCCTATCATCGATTCGATTTTTATTTAAAGCCCTATATTTATCCTTCACTAAAGCCCTGATTCAAAGTGTACAGGGTGTCCCGTAATGTAGTATTTTTTGTTTTATGACCTGCATCTCGGGAAGGTGGAACTTTACTGACAGTGGTTTAATTCTTAAGTTGAGAGTACATAAGCAGCTTGGCATCATAGCTAGGCATATTAATGTCAAATTATAAAGGAAAACGACAGATTTTGAGTGCGGCTCTGACATCCTTTTATGATATGTCACAAAATATGCCATGCGAAGAATATAAGTTCTTATGTACCCACACCTTTATTCTATGAAAATATGAAATTAAAAAATTACACTTAATTTTGACGTTTGACAGAAAGGACAAAGGAGAGACCTTTATAAAAGTTTTTATTTCATAGAACAAGAATTGAGGCCCAGTATTCAGGGGACTGTTTTCTGAAATAAAATTTCAATGAAAAATATAAAATGAATAGCAAATATATCGAATATGTTTTGGACAAGTAGAAAAGAAAGTTGGAAGGGAAGTGGATTACTGAATCCACTCCACCCTAATATTTTTCAGCGGACACATAAAATATGGGTACATTTTACATATCATAAAACACGAAGCTGATTGAAGTGACTCCTGTAGTAGAATTCTGTAACTCATTTTCTGAGTTACCAAAAAAATCAGTAAAATTCAAATGCTTACAATTCCGGTAATTAACGAAATTTTTCGGTAAGTTAACGACGAAATTAAAGTAGCCGCCTACCCATGGTAGAAGAACACAGGTAGTCGCATCGACACAGCTGCTGAGACAATGAACTGTCAAATCAATTTTGAAATTGAAAATTTTGAATGAAAAATTATTGAAATTCGTTAATATTGTTGAAAAATGCATATCTTAAGAACCCTCGTTTGGCGTCTTATAAAAAAAAAACTTATAAAAATCTACTTATTATTAAGAATAGATTTTAGAAAATTTGATATATCAATGTTCCTAAACGTTGATGCATCTACCTGTGTTCTTCCACCATGGGCCTACCGATAGCTACCAATATTGTCAACTTTTATTTTTTTTTCAAAATTTTGCGCTTGAAAGTTACAGATTTTTGTCGATAACTCAAAAATTGGGTTAGAGGATACCACTACTGTTCGGTTTTGAAATCAAAAAGGAGTCAACTTCATTTGCTGTAGAACTTTTAAATTTATCACGCAAATTTGTTTTAAATCTGGTAAAATTCCCATATATTTTTGATATTTTGAAAATTCCAGCCATAATATCGAACCCAATTACCCTGTGCAAATGTAACCTTCCACCTCTGTTATAAGGTATTTTACCGATTTCAATCCATTTTTATCGGTTTTTCGGGTTGGAGTTCTTTATATATTCGCCCAAGGATAGCAGGCTCCTTAATAAAATTCAAAAAAAAAAAAAATAGTAAAAATATCGACATTGCTGTTATGTTGGATCACCCTGTACATTTTCATAGGACAAGAAAACAAAAATATCAAAAAACTTTTCAATTTATCAATTTTTAGACTTTTTCAAAATTTCAGTGACATTGAGTGAATAAATTGAAAATTACAAAAAAAAATAAAATTGAAACAAAAAAAAAATCTTAAAATAAATACGCATATCAATCGCAGATTAAAAGTACGCGCATTAACTCATCGAAACTTCGTGAGAGTTAAATCTTCTCCAATACTATCATACCTAATCTGTTTCTGTCTCTTCCCCTGGAGTTCAAAGGCGACAAGTCTTGCAACATGGAGATTTCATCAAAAGAAATGGTAATTTTTATAAATATTTATCTGAAATTCTAAAAACGGGTAGTTCAGTGTGCATTTGTCTTTTTTTTGGCGATCTATAGAAATTAAAGAATAGCATTCTATGTTATAATTTTTTGCTATTCTGAAGGATGCTGAGCCTGTGATACTAAGCATCCATCAAAATTAAATTAGTCAGAAAATCATTATTATGTTATTCTGTATTCCGCTATGCCGAACCTGAAGGACGCAGCTCTATCTAATACATGGGGTGCCCTTTGACTACGAAATTTGTATATACATTTTGATCTTTTAGTCTATGGTTCGTGGGGAAGATACCAAAAAGTTAAGGCTGATATTGCCCTGTTTCGCCCATGCTCGTATGGAGAGTAAAACTAGCTCGAATTCGAGCGGGAATATTAATTTGAGTTATAAAATGGAAATCAAGATACACACTTTATTACAGCTTTTATTTTTTAAAATATTATCTCTTTTAATGTTAATTTGCCAGAAGGAATGGAGTGAGATAATGATTTTTATGAGTAAAGGTGAGAATATATAAAACCCTTATTTAACTGGCTGGCTTCTTTGGAAAAGAACAAAGGAGCGTAGGGCGAAAATCGAAATAAGTCAACTTAAAAGTCATTTCTTCCTCTACGAAGAAGCAAGCCGATGACTTAAGCCAGTCAAAAAAGCTTTTTATGTATTCTCACATTATTGGTCATAAATTATATGTCCTTTAGAAGTCTAAAATTCCAACACAATTTGTAAAGAATAGTCAAATAACTGACTGACTGAGAATCAGTCTTGGTCTCGAGGGTCAGTCTTGATGCGTAGGCGTGTGATAAGGCTGTTTTTTGGAAATTCGTACCATAAGTGTATGAAAAATACTAAAATGTAATAAAAATTGATTTCTTTGTGTTTGACAAACGGAGTGAGTCACTGATGAAGTGCAGGATAGATGTACAAAAGGATTTTTGGAATTTCGACCTTTAAGATTACGAAAAGTTCTAAAATGGTATCATTTAGTATTGTGTGAATGGAGATATATAAAAAATTAATTTTTTATGAGAATTAAATTTGAAAAGTAAGTTTAAAATATAAAGATGGTTTTATAAAATTTGTACTGCAGTTGTTCGATAAATTCTAAATTTGACTAAACTTAGTACTGGGTGAAGTGATTAAGCTGAAACCTTGAAATTGTATCTGTTGGCATATGGTGTTAAGATCTGGTGATGGTTTTTACTCGCAAGCGGGAGTGTTCGAAGAGTAGGTGTTTTGCAGGAAATTCAAAGAGAACGGTAAAAATTGTCTGTTCTAAAACAATTAAAATAGTACAAAATGTTGTTTGATAACACAAAAGTCCAGCAAATGAGAGCGAGTGAGAAAGAGCGCAATTCGATAATTGAATTACTGAGAGTAAAATTTCACTGTAAAAATTTCGAAGGAAAATTTATCCAGTAACATGAGCTGTTTGAAAAACACCTTCATTGTGGCCGATACAAACATTTTTACAAATTTCAGGCTGATATTTACTTATTTTTCAAAACAGAACAAATATAAGCAAAAATTTATGAATTTCAATAATTGTCGTTAACTATATACGGAATGCCGCTTATATAACTCATCCTTAATTATGGGTATTTAGATGAACCTAGTCAAATTTTTCAATTGAATACGCTTCAATTTTTTATTTTGGCCTCGAAATGGAGAATACTCAGTATTTACAGGAGTTGACAAATGGGCCATATAACGCTTACCTATATTTCAAGGATTCTGACTATTCTTGATCAGAATAAAATTCTATGTCGATTTAACGATGTCCGTCCGGATGTGGAATTTAAGTAGGTTGATAACATTTTACTCAGATGTGTGTTTGGTCTGCAAGACTTTTGGTATTGAAAATAAGCTATATAGGTCTACATTTTGGCATAGTCCCCATTTAGTAATACCTCCCTATATTCGGTATTTTGATGATTTTCACGATATTATCCAGCGGAACTTTTTTAATTTTCGTATTAGCAGTTCGTAACGGGTACTACAGCCTGTAACACAAAATTGCATACACCGTTCCAGGTCTTCGTATGGCTCCCATGTAACGGCACTTCCCTGTATTCGGTATTTCGATGAAAATAATAATATTATCCACCGGAGCCGTTTCAATTTCCGTATTTACTATTTCGTAATGGGTATTACAGTCGATGACAGAAAATTGTCTATGCAAATCCACGTCTTCGTATAGCCATAGACATTTTTCACCGAAATTTCGTATTGTAAGTTCGTAACAGGTACTACTGCCAGTTACAGAAAATTGATTTTGCTGGCCCACGTTCTCGTTTAGCCCTGTATTACGATACTTCCCTATATTCGGATTTTGATATTTTTCCGACATTATTCCCCTGAATTTTTTCAAGTTTCGTATTTGAATATTGTAATGACCCATGACAAAAATTTCCCAGCATTACGGTAACTCCCTATGTCCGTATTTTTATGATTTTATTTTTTAACGATTTTTTTTTTAATTTACTTCTAAATATGGAGGATATTCAATGCTCGGCCCAGCCAAACTTGCTGCTTTTTTACATGTTACTTGATAATTCTTAAATTTTCATCAATTTATGACAATACTTGTAGCCATCTTCTAAACCGCTTTCAAACCGTTTCACACATCCAATATTTATTTATTTATTTAATTTTGCAAATAATTGCACTTGTTTAGCAAGTGCACCAATTTCAATTTCAATGTATTTTGCTACAATTTTTTTTTCTAATGGTGACATTTTTTCTCTCTCTCTCACCATCATCAGTCATGCTGCAGTAGAGCATGGCTTTTAGTTCAGCCATCAATTATTCAGCTGATACCGTTCGATGATTGTTCAAGTTTTCTTATTTTTCAATGTCGTCACTGAAATGGGCTCAAATGAGCTGCTGTTGCTGTTGATGTTGGTCATCATTATCGATCGACAACATTGTTTTGATCCACATACCACATAGCGATCGAGCTTGCAACAGCACCAGTTCTCATAATGACTTTATGGCACATATTTTTCAATACCGGTCGGCCAAATTGCTCCCATCCACGGGCAGTCGATGCGCCATGTGGTGGATGGTTTCTTTTTCCTTTTTTCTCTCTCGATTTTTTATTTTTTCTAATATCGAGCCAAGCAGCCAAAGTTATTGTCACCACAAGAAGACATTAAACCGTCTGTTCCGTTTGTCCCACCTAAGCACAAGGCCAAACAACAAAAGTGGCTCATTGTAACGGGGGATTCCATTAATGGTGTTTGGGCATAGTTTGTATTTTTGTTTTGTTTGTTTTTTCTCTTCTCCTTTATTAGAGAGTCATTTGCCTCTTAGTTAAGATGTCCAGATGATGATGTTTATATTTAAATCGTTTGAATATTACATTTTCCAAACGGCAACACGACAGTCGGTGTATGGCGCCCAAACTGGTTTGCGTCTTAAAATTCAAACGATAGTGAAACCAATGGACCGACCCACTCACCAAAGGCAACCCGTTGCAAATTTTTCGTGATTGTTGATGCATTGCAAATCATTTTTGTTGCTCAAAAGTTGTTGGTGTTGCCACTGGAGCTGCTGCCGATATTAACCTTCTTCTAGAAAGTGGTGTGGCATGTTGTTGGTAATACATGTTGCACGATTTTAAGTAAAATATTTCACACTTGCATTCACATCACATCTGCTGCAAAAAAAAAAAAAAAAAAAAAAAAAAAAAAAAAAATACTATGGATGCATTGACCAAACAACACTACATTGCCTGTTTTTTGATGCCTTTCATTTGCGATAATACCGAAATAAAAAAAAACAACCAAACAAAAAAACTTGAATTATTTAATTTAATTTTAAAGAGTTTAAAATTTATTTTAATTGATTTTAACCATTTAGCTATAATTGTTCGAACAAAACATGAATTTAAACGATTTGTTTTTACAAAACGTAGTGCATTCCACTCGTTGTAATGGGATTTTATGTGCGTTTCATAAATGATTGACAATCTTTGATGGCTAGCAAATCACATTGACAGCCGCTTCGGGTTCGGATTTGCAGCAAGTAAGGAGTTCATGTCTTTCAAATAAATATTTGTGTATTATGGCCGGCTTCCCAGTCAAAAAAAAAAAAAAATGAACCTACGATGATTTGTAGCATTTTCAAAACCAAAGACTTACCTATTATTCCTCGACACACAAAAGTGTCAAAAACATTTTGAAAAATGAATAATTATTTAAATTGGTTAAATTTGCGGGAAAGTAAATTTCATAACAACCTCTGAACGGTACTGCATATTTAACAAGTACACCCTTTGGGACGAATTTGGAAATTTCCAAAAAATAAAATCCGTAAAAAAAACTCTATTAAAATCTTAAAAATACCAAATATAGCTGTTATATTGGGGTCTATATGAAGAAGTGGACCAGCATAGGCAACTTTTGTCATAAGCCATTACAATATTCAAATACGAAACTTAAAAAAAAAAAAAAAACAAGTAAAAAAGGTGTAAGTTCGGCCGGGCAGAATTTTGAATACCAATAAAATAAAATCCGTTAAAAATTCTGTTAAAACCTTTAAAATACGTGAAAAAAATCGGTGAATAATGCAGCTAAAATCATTAAAATACCGAATATAGGAAGGATACAAATACCAAAATTGAAACAATTCCGGTAAATAGTGTCGCTAAAATTATGAAAATATGGAATATCGGGGGGTAACGTTATATGGGGGCTATACGAAAACGTGGACCTGCATACAAAAATTTTTGTCATGGGCTGTAGTACCCATTACGAACTTCAAATGCCAAATTTGAACAATTCCGGTGAATAATGTCGCTAAAATCCTCAAAATACCGAACATCAGGAGGTACCGTTATATGGGGGCTATACGAAAACGTGGACCTGCACAGACAATTTTCTGTCATAGGCTGAAGTATCCATTACGAACTTCGAATACCAAAATTAAAACAATTCCGGTAAATAGTGTCGCTAAAATCATCAAAATACCGAATATCG